GTGTTTCAGGCTGTTTGCCCTTCCAGCCACCAGGAGGGTGTGAGGTGGGTGCTGGGGGTGCGCTGCTCCCGGTGCAGCCCTCGCACGAAGCTGCCCGTGCAGGGATCCCGGTGAGGGGCGCAGCTCACCTGAACCTCGCGGTCTGCTGCAGTTGTTTCCCTGCTTCGTTAACGGGAGGCAGATGGAGGAGGGCTCCGGCGGTCACCGTGCCTTGGTGAAGTGCAGCAAACACCGTAATTGTTAGTCGGGGCTTGTCAGCTGTATCACAGGAGCACCGGATAAAGTGTTCCAGTGAAGAAGATAATTGAAAATCAAAAAAGACTTTGTTAATTTGATTAGGCAGAGCCGTAGTTGAATTGTTCTTCATCAAAAGAGATTTAATTTTGACATGCAATTAAATCCTTCTGCTGTACTGGTGCCCTGCGTGTTCCCAGCAACAGGGCAGGCTGGGCAGGGGGGGCTTTACGGGACAGCAGGGATGAGACAAGCTGGGACGGGGGAATCCAGGGGACAGGGGGCCAGTGGCTGACAGACACGATGGGAGCGCAGAGGTGGCTGCGAGGGAGCGCTGTCGTAGCAGACATTACTCGTTTGGTGCTGAATACAAGTTGTGTTTTAGCTGTGTTAATTGCGTTAATGCAGAAAGCAGCCCAGCCCCCCAGGGCTGTCCCCTCGCCGTGCCAGCCCCAATCTCCTGGGGGTAAAGCTGCGACCTGCGGGGCTCTGATTGTCTGGCGAGGTCTTGAAGTTTTGCGTGGGTTTGGTGAGGTGGCCGTGAGCAGGTTTGCCCCAGAGCTGTGCCCTCCAGCTGGGCAGGGGCTCCCCCATGGTCCTGGGGTCCCTGTGCCCCCCCCAGGTCTCCCTTCTCATTGCTGTGCCCCGCAGATAACGCAGGGATTATCCTCACCCCGTTGTGTGTGTGTGTGGCCATAATCCACCCCCACGGAGCAGGAGGTGGCTGGCTGGAAATCCTGCGGCCAGGGTTGGGGATTTAGAGCTGGTGATGAGAGAAGGAGCTCAGTGGGATGTGACAGGTTTAAAAAGTGGGGGAAAAAAATCTGTGTGCCTCCTCAGGCAGGAGCAGCAGCCCTCGCAGTGAGAGGGGCCGTGGGAGGGAGCGCAGGAGGTCGGCGTGCCGCGAGCTGCCCCTGCCTCTCCCTGCACCCAGTGCCGGCGGCGAGCCTGGGAGCTCTTGGCACCCGGGGATTTCAACTGCTCTCATCTAATTCTTCTCAGACTGGATGGAGCCGTGGGGAGATTTTCTATTACAGCCTCGCTCTGCTACTTGCCAGACCAGAAAAGAGCTGCTCTGAGAGGTGATGGACTTGGCCGTGCGGGCGGCGTTTTAATTCCCGTGCGCTCTCTGCTGATGGGCTGCTCGTGGCGCCTGGCGCAGGCCATGCCCTGGCACCCAGGCTGCAGGAGATCCTGCAGGGGCTGTGCTGCTCCCTCCTGCCTGGGAGGGCACGGCCCAGCTGCCACAGCCATCGCCTTTCTTCCTCTCCTGCAGTGCCAGAGAGAAACGTGCACAATGAGCCTGCTCCTTTTGCTGTCCCCACTCTCCCCTGTGCTGGGTGCATGTGGGGTGCGCCGCGCTCTTCCCTGAGGCTGCCCGGCTCTCCTGGCTCTCCCACCCACTCTTCTTGGCAGAGGAAGGTTTCCTTCAGGTACCTCGCTGTGCTCCGCTCCAAATGGCCGTGCTTGATGCCCACGCAGATGGCAGTGGGGGGACGGGGCCCCGCAGGAGCTCGGTGGCAGGACGGAGCCACCGGTGGCACCCAGTCCCCTGGCCCTACTGCAGGCTGCAGATGCTCGGCTGCTGGTGCTGCTGCAGGATGCGTTTCCACCTGTGAAATGGGCACCCTGCCCTGCCTGCCGGTCTCCCCAGGGCTTCGGGGGTGAATCAGGCGTTAACCTGCCAGCTGCTCTTTCCTGTCACTTGGTTCCCTGGGGCTCTCTCCTTCTGCACCTGCACCTACGTGGACTTCTTCTGAGCAGCAGAAAAGGTGTGAAAGTGTGAATCCCCTGTGCTGCTTGGTCATTTGAGCCATCACTGACATATTTCACAGCTTGGGCTGTTCTAATTGCCTCTGAAAATGCAAACAGAAAGCTAGAAGCACCACGAGAGGGCAAGAAAACGCAGCTGCCCGTGGCACTCAAGTCAGGAGGGATCAGAGTGATCCATCTGTGCCAGGGGATCCTGCTCCTGCAGCAGAGGACAGCCTGAAGAGGCTTGTGAGGGTGGCCCGGGGGCGAGCAGCTGCACAGAGGGGGCTGGAGATGGCAGCGGGCTGTGCCCATGCAGCAGGGCTGAGCGCTGCACGCACCGCGCTCGAAGGCAGCGCCGGCAGCTTGGGCGCAAAGGGGACGCAGGAGGGACAGTGGTCACAGGGGGACGCGGGTGTCTGAGCTCTGCAGGGCTGGAGGGGGGGCAGCGGTTACAGTCTGAGCTGAGTTTGCACAAGTTTGCATCCCCTTCCCTGTGAATAGTGCCTGTGATTTGGGGAGAGAGATTCCAGAGCAGCTGCAGAGCCCGTGCAGCTTCCAGACAAGGTCCCACGGCCCCGCACACTGCAGCGGGTGCTGCCCCCCCAGCTCGGGTCGGTGCTTGGCCCCCCCAGCCCCGGCAGCATTGGGGGCAGCAGGTCCCGGGCCCCACAGCAGCAGGGTGCCAGGAGGGGGCAGGTTGAAGGCAGCACCCACGGCTGCCCGTGCTCTGGGTGCCGCAGCCCTCGCGAGCCCGGCGCGGTGTTTACCACCAGCACCACCACCAGCACCTTGGCTCCCTGCCTTATTTGTTCTCCTCTAATTGAGCAAATGCGCTGTAGGCAGCGGAGCTAGGCCAGCATTGACTTTATTAGGGGAAAGCATCAATACGACGCTGCGTGTTAGGAGGCTTAGTCTAACACTGTCAGACTACCGGAGTTTTAAAGTTGCACTTTATTCATGATGTTTTGATTTCTTTTGCTCTGGGGACTCCGACTTTGATAGATTGTGATGCGGTACCAGAACAATATAATATACGAGAGCAGCTTGCTTCCAAAACAGGCATTTGCCACAAGAGTCCAACATTTTCTTGGATTTTTTAGAGTGAAAAATGATGGCATAAAGAAATCCTAAGCTTTGTGCAGTTCAATCATCCAGAATTAGCAACCAGAAAGTTGATTTTACTGCTGACTGGTAGGCTGTTAGATGTTGTTATGCCAAGCTAATTTCTGGGTTCTTTTTGCTGCTGCAGCAGCTCTGGCAGGAGCTGTTCTCACTCCAGAAGTTGGAGTTTCTACACGAGCCGGTTCCTGCTGCTGCCAGCTACCGAATCCTTCTCTCGCAAGCAAGCGCCCGCCACGCCGCCGTGCTGCTGCTGCCGCTCCAGCTCCTGGTCTCTTTGTGCCGCTGCTTTTCTGGTCCCCCTTGTACTTTGTGAATTCTGCAGGCATGAAAGCAGGGAGAAACCGCAGGTACAGACCCTGTGCGGTGCCCGCTGATCTCCATTGTCAGGGCGCACAGATCCGGCTGACCCTTCAATTCCATTTCTTGAGGACGTGTTGTCAGATGTGCCGGTGGTACACGTCACGGGATGCATTTTCTGTTAACACATTTTTCATGTGTGACTGTGCTGAGCTGTCGGGTGCTCGTTGTCTCAGCGCTGAGCACAATCCATTTATCTGCTGTTCGTGTGGATGCCATAGGGGTTGCTGTCGGAGCTCCTCTGGAATGAAGCACGAATTAAATGTACCATTAAAACAGTGTAATCGCAGCCACTTAATGAGTTTGATTCTCTCCCTTTCCCCGTGTTTGGCCGTGCCCCATCTCATTTGATTTGGTTTTCACAGGTTCCTTTTTAGGAGCACTCATTTTGCTTCAGCCCAGGCTGTGTCTCCCAGCCCTGCTCTGGACTTGGAAGCAGGAACCTGGTGGCAGGAGGTGGCCATCGGGTGCGGGGCTGGGGCTGTCCCAGCACCACGGGGAGGTGACACCACCGGGCTCTGCCACACCACTGGCACCTCTCACCATGTGCCACACAGCCTGGCTTCGGTGAAACCGGCAGGGGAGAGCTCCAAATGTCCCAGAAGGGCTGTGAGGGGTGGTGGGCTGCGGGGCTGCGCAATGCTCGGTGCCCATGGTGCCGCCATCTCCGGGCTCTCCACCATTTGCAGATTTAATGTTTTGACTATTCCCTAATTTTATGGGGAGAGGGAGAAGCCCCAGAGAAGCTGTTGCTGCTGTGTGTAACCACAGTGAGTGCTCTGTGGGCAGCAGGAGCCTCGGGGGGCGGCAGGGCTGGGGGCACCCCCTGCCTCCTGCAGGAACAGTTTGGTGTCGGGGTTGCAGAACGCTCCGTGGATGTGTCAAAGCAGCATTTTACTGCAGCCTTGTTCTCAGAAACGTCTGAACCGTTCTCGCTAAAACTTCCCTCAAAATTTCAGCCCGAGGCAGACGCTCAATATGGAAAACATCAGAGTGAAGTGACTCGCCTCGCGCAGAGATCCAGGCGAGCGATTATGGGGTCTCTCAGAGCGCTGGCTGATCGCTGGATGTGGCGCTGCGATCCACAGAGCCTGCAGCAACCTGGAGGTGACGGGGCCACCCGCGACCCTGTGCAGCCCTGGGCATCGGTGGCACTGCTGCAGGCGGGCAGGGACACGCAGCACCACCCTGCAAGGCGCAGCCCCGCGGCTTGCCCAGCTTCAGCAGAGCACGTTCCTGGCCACTGCTGCCTGTGGTACCCGGGGACCCAGCAGAGGGGACTGGGACGGGGGCGCTGGGAGCTCCCCAACAGCCGGGGGTGCTGCGGGGGCTGCGCTGCGCGGGGGAACCCGTCCCGAGGAGGCAGCGCCGCCGTCGGCCTCGGCTGCGCTTTGATAACTGTGCAAATACTCAGCAGGCAGCACGCTGGGCTGGGGCGGCTGTATTATTTACAGAGAGGCTCGGGGAGTCTCTGAGGAGAGCCGGCACAACTCGCATATTAAAACAGAAATCGCAATTAACAACAAAAAAGGGCATTTCTGTAACATTTTTATTGAAGTCTTAATGAACAAATAAAGAAGCGGAGAAATCTGCATATGTGCTTGTGAGATATAAAACTGACTGAATCAAGATGAAGCAGCAAGAAAACTTGGCTTTTCTTATCTTCTGCAGGATAAGTAAAACCAAACAGCAAGGAGGGGAGGGGAAGGGGGGGGAACGAAAGTGAAGGCTGATGCGGGAAGCGGGGGGCCCCGGTGTGCGGCTCCTGTGAACCCGGCGAGATCCAGGGGCTGCCTCGACCGAGGTGCCTGTCCGTGTTCCCTCTGAGCTGTGCTGAGAGGATTTGGAGGGATTTCTGAGAACGTATTGGAAAAAGAAATTGGAAGCTGAAAAAGCGTGGAAAAGCAGGGGTTTTAACCCAGAAGCTGTACGGGCACCGCACGCTGCCTGCCCCACGCGGCGGGGGCTCGGCTGGCTGGGGATGCTGCGCTGGGGGGACGGGGAGGATGCTGGGGTTTGGAAAAGCTCGGGGCAGTGATGGTGATGGGAGGGCACTCGGGGGGGCTGTGACTGTGGGCTGCTGCTGCCTGTGGCCCTGTGCAAGGGGAAGAAACCAGGCTGAAGGAAAACCACGGCCCCATCCCGCGGGAGTGTGCGCAGGGCCACCTTCCTGCGAGCAGGGGGGTGTCGGGGCTGGGGGCTGACCCCGATGGGGAGGATGGAGGCTTTGGCCGGAGTTTTGAAGGTAACCCTAAGGGTGCCTGTGGACCCCGAGTGCTGGCATTGGCTTTGTGGAGCTTCCAGCCCAGGGCCCCCACACCGTGCTGGAGGGCGCAGGGAGGTGGTGGAGGGGTCGGGCAGGGCAGAGACACCTCCAAATATCCCAGGCTGCAGGGATGCCTGAGCTGAGAGGCACTTATCTGGTGCTGAGGGCGGCGAGGCGCATCAATCCGAGTCAGGAGAGGTGTGTTGAGGAAGGAGGCAGCGTGTGGACCGAGCAGAGCAGCAGCGGGCACCGGGTGGGTGACGGCCATGCAGGCAGGTCGGGGATGCAGCCGCAGCCCTGACAGATGAATCTGATGCCTTCGTCTCCGTGCCCTCTCCCTGTCTGTCCAGGGAGCAGAAATCTGCTTCGGAAAATACTCTGCAGCTTTTTGTGTCCCAGGGGCACACGCGACTGGTTTCCTCCCCTGCCTTCCAAGTTTCCAGGAGCGCGGCAGGCCCGTTCCTCGGCGCAAGCGGCTCCGCTGAGATTTCTGCAAAATATTCCCCAGAATGATTTATGATACTCCTTCGGCTAATTTTTAACTCTGATTGCTTCTCCTTCTCTTCAGTGGAATTTAACTAGTTTGTCTGGAATATTAATAATTAAACATCGCGGAATTATATCCCGAGCAGTCTTTTCAGATGAACGTTTGTGATTGTTTTAAAGCGCGCAGCGCCGGGTTTTAGTGGCTCTTTGATAGAATTCTGCTTCTTTCAAACTGCTGACACCAGTAACCCGATAAATTAGCAGATGATAGAGGGAAATCTCCTGGCTGGTTCTGTTGGTTTTATGGTTTGATTTGTTAATAGGAGTTTTGGGTCGCAGCCAGGCGTTCCTGAACTGGCAAAGGGAAGGGTTTGCCCCGCGGTGCAGGGGCAGATGCCCGGCTGCTCGCAGTGCTCGGCCCCATGTGTGCCCGTGCGGGCTCCGTCCCGTTGTGCTCAGGAGGCTGAGCTGCCACGGGGGTGCTCGGCACGGCTCAGCCTGCAGCTCACTGCTGCTGTCTGCTGTGCTGGGGGCTGATTCCAACGATCTCTGCTGCAAAGAAGGATTCTGCCTCCTTCTGCTTAATGCTGATAATCTGCCCGCAGCAGTCCCTCCTGGAGCTAGCACCTGGTTAATCCTCTTCCATGAGGAAAAGAGAGGAATAATGGGATCAGGCTGAGTGGGGTGCCTGCTCCCCGGGCTGCCCGGGGCTCTGCACGGCTCTGCCCGAGGGGCTGCTCTGGGGGGCTCCGGGGGGACCACCCCGGGCTGGGGACCCGTCCCCGGGGGCCGCCAGCGCCCGTCCTGCTCCTGCCTTGCCAGCTGCCGTGCAGCTGAAGTTTCATTTATTCTGAAGGGAAAAGAATTCACATCTTCCCAACCAACGCGAACCCAAATACAAATAAATTTCTCTCAAAGTGCAGTCGTTGGAGAAAACTAAAGGCCGTTAGTCAGGCTGACATCAGAGGAGCCGCATTCGCTCTGACAAGCAGCAAAGGCTTATGTTTTATTCACCAGGCCTGAAAAATACCTTCCCGAAGAGGGGGCCCATAAATAAACCAGTGTGATGAATATTACACAGGATAAAAACTGATAAAGCAAGGGCCCTAAACACAAGATGCACAACGAGGTTAGGAAAGCACATGGTTTTCATCGCCTCTAACCCTGCGTGACGGGCTGGGGAGGTGGGGGCCGGGGAAGGGGAAGCCACTGCGGGGATGCTCCTGGCCCCGAGGGGATGGGGGGGACAGGCAGAGCCGCCCCCTACTCACTGCCACCCAGGTTCACAGCCTCCCTTGCCGAGTGTGAGACCGTGCCCAAGGCTCAGCCCCTGCTGTTGTAATCCTCTGTACAAAATACCTGTTAAGCTCTGCTTCTGGGAGCGAGCACTGATTTGAGATGCCCGTGATCATAAGGAGCGTCCTCAGAGCTGTTCTGTGTCCTGAGGTGTTGTTCGAGCATCTCTCCCCTAATGCAGCCTCTGCCCTGCCTGCTGCACGCGGGTGGCGTTGGCTGCTGGGTGCAGGCTGGCACCAAGTGCCACCAGGTCCCCGTGGGTGCCACCAGCGCTGGAGGATGCTCTCGGTCTCCACTCACGGTTGTTTTGTGCGCGTGGTTGCTCAGGGCCCACAGAAGCAGACCTCAGGAGGGGAACAGTTCCTGGTGACCCAGCCTGAAAAAATGCCTCCTTCTGCAGACGTGTTTTTGGGGGTGTTTCTGCAGCACTTGGTGTGTCCGGAGAGTGCCGGGTGCTGCTGGGTGCCCAGGGACAGGAGGTGGCCGGGGCTGGGGTGCCCTGGTGCTGCTCGGGGGGCAAACGCCGCCTGCGTGGGGCTGCAGAAGCACGGGGCAAAGCGAGCAAGGGTTTAACAAACAAAGCTCTCCGCTGGATCGGGAGGGGGTGTCGGAAGAGGCGTCGTGATGGATATTAATGCAGCTTGGAAATGCCATCTCGCAGGGCTGTTATTTCATCTCCCCACAATCTCTCTGAATTTCTCCGCAGCCCAGCAGTGGCAGTGTCGCAGTGCTGGCCCTGCCTGACGAGCGCGGGGGCTCGGCGCAGCCCCCGGCCCGGCCCCTCACCAGCCAGGGGTGGCAGCGGCAGCTTCCAGGGGCTCCTCCTGCCCGAGGGGCTGCGCTGAGAGACGGAGCTCCCTGGGGGAAAACGGCGCTCGGTGGGGGCACGAGCCCGGGGGCAGAGGAGGAGGAGGAAGGGAAATGGCTTCAGGAGCCCTTGGAGCCGTGAGCGTCCCAGCCGGGGCTGCCGGCATCCCCCAGCCCCTTCTGGAAGCCCCCGGCTCTGCCTCTGCTTGGGTTCGAGCGCGTCGGCGAGCTGCGTGCGGTGCCAGGGCTGAAACGTGCCTGGGGTGGGTCTGGGGGCTGCCCTCACCGCTGCGCTGGGGGTCCCGGGCTGGGGCCGCCCCCGCGCGTTTTGCCGAGGGCTCGCGGTGGCTGCGAGGTTTGTGCAGAGCTCCCTGCGCAGCGCCAGGCTCCCGCTGGCTTCATCTGCCTTTAAGTTTCCCGACCGTTTGCCTTCCCTTCTCTCCACCCAATTTAAGAAAAACAAAACCCAGGCTCCTCGGGAAGCGGCGGCGGGGCCGTGTCTTTGTGCAGGTCCCTCCGTGTCTCCGAACAGCAGGCCACAAACAAAACAAGAAGCATTTCATTCAAAAGCCGCACGTTCAAAGGCTGCAGGAGGAAGTTTGCACAGATTTATGCTCCGTAATCCCACATTTGGCAAATTCTATGTAAACTGTGTGCAAATCTCCTTTGAAAAGTTCCTTTGCTCTTCCTCGCAAAGCCAGGGCTGGACCACACGGGCAGCGGGAGCAGCCCCCTGCCCCGCGCCTCCCCGCGGAGCGGGAGGCAGGAACCTTGAAATACGAGCACTTAGCTTTTTATTACACCATTTAATTGCTGCCTGACAGTCTAATCCACCATTAAAAACACCAAAGCTCAGGGGAATTCACCATTGTTATTCCTCGTGTCTCTCCCCCTCGCCTCAGCCGCCGGCTGCCTCCTCTGCCCCTCGCCGGCCCCGGGCTGTGACCCCCGCGTGCGCCTGGGGGGCACCCGGCGTCTCTGCACCTCCCCTGAGCACAAAGTGGGGGTGCCGGTAAGGAGAGGTGCGTAACTGCACGTGCTGTGCTGGGCAGCAATGGGGGGCCTGGGCTGTTGGCCGTGCAGCAACCCCAAACCCCGTGCATGCTGCAGAGGAGCGGCTGCGGGACGCGCTGCGTTGCCAGAATGCCACCTCGCTGGCGTGTGGGGCGATGCCTGGTGGATGGAACTGCTGCACTGAAACCCGGCCTGAGCTCTGGGCTGGAGCTGGCTGGGAGGCTGGAGCATCTCCATCCTGATGCCACCTTGTTTGGGACCCATCTCCCCCTGTGGGGGGATGTTCGTGTCCCCACGCAGCAGGGGAGCAGCCAGCCCGCGCCGCGTGGGGATGCCCCCGCGCCCCCCACCAGCTGCTTTTGCATCCCAGTTTTGTGCATCCCGGTGCCGTAGGCATTCTCCTTGCCCGGGAAGGTGGGCTGGCCACAGGCAGGCCCGGAGGTGGCAGCGGCTCAGCGCACACCAGCTTCTCCAGAATTAGAGGCTTTGCCTTCCTCCGCTGCGATTTGGAACAGGAGATGAAAGCAACCTGAGCGGTGGTGAGCCATCCTCTCCCTGTCCTTGGCTGCCCACGGCTGCTGCTAGAGAGCTGCTCTGCAGATGCAAAAGCCAGTTTGGAAAATAGCTTTTCACATTGGATACGGGTTTTGCAAAGCTTTTTTTCTTTTGAGCTGCAGATCTTTGTGTGCTGGGCTGCGTGCCCAGATGGGTGCTGGGGTGCCGAGGAGGCATGTGGGGCTGTGCGCACGCATCGCATCTGCCTTGTTCTCCCCGGGGCTGGCTCATCGGGAAGGGGTTTGGGACCCGGTGTCCTGCCCCACTCCTGGTGCTCCCCAGTGGCAGGGGCAGGTGGGGAGCAGCTCCCGTCCGCGGGGCCCCGCCGCTGCCTGCCAGCCGGGGAGGGGGCTGGCAAGGAGATGGGCTCGGCCGCCTCTCCACACGAATCTTGCTCATGCTCTAAGTAATGATTTGTCTTTTTTTTCGACTTCTCTGTTGTGTAAAAATAATGGTGCTGGCTGACATGGCAGGGTGTATTGATCGGGCGCACGAGCGCAGCAGCACTGAGCCTGGGGAGCAAACGGAGCGCGGTGGTGCCTGGCCCTGGCCCCCCTGCCCCGTGCCCCCTGGGGGACATCGGTCTCAGTGCTCCACAGCCCAGGCCCTGCTGCAGCTGATGGACAAATCTAACTGCAGCTGGGGGCTGTGATTGCAGCAAGACCCCCGGGGCCGGGTGTTTGGGGCTGGGGGGGAACCAGGGATGAGACCGCAGGTGCCTGTGATGGGCTCCCCCTGGCACTGCTCCAGGGCTGGGTCCTGGGGGAGGCTGCTTGGAGCGGGGGCTGCTGCCACTGCTCGGGGCAACCAGGAAGGACGGGTGCAGCTTTGTGCCCGGCTGCAGTGAGCTCAGCACCGGGCATGGCCCCACTGTGCCGTGCCAGGCTGGGCAGCTCCAGGACGCCTCGCTGCACCCCGGCCCCACGGAGCCCTCAGGAGGCTGTGGGCACGGCCAGGTCCCGGCACCATCCCACCTGGGGCACGTGGAGAGGCTCGCTGGGGCAGGGGGGGCACCGCTCACTGCTGGGTTGCAGCATGAAGCATTTAATGAAGGAAGGTCTGCACAGAAGTAATTTGAGTTTATGGGGTGGCAGCGTAATAGCATCAGCTGTAATTTTTATGGGGCGAGAGGGGGACTGGAAGGTTCAGGTGTTGGTGCTGCCGCTCCCATCCTCAGTCTGCATCAGGCTCCAGCCAGGAAGGCTTTGTGGTGCCCTCGGGCACTTTTTTTCTTAATGAATCCTGGGCTCTATCAAATGTTAATCAAGGTGATGGTAATAATGAAGCTGGGAGCGGTGGGTGCTTAGCTGGAGAGGGCTTAACGCTGCTGCTGTGGGAAGGATGCCTGCCCCCGGCTTCCCTCAGGAGGGGCGGAGGCGAGGGGGCTGCTGGTGACCCCACGTTGTCCCAGCCTCCCCAATCCTCTGCTAAACGTGGTCGTGGGCAGGGGGGAGCTGGGCCGTGCAGGGTGCTGGGGCCGGTCCCTGCCGCACCGTCAGGGCTGCCCCGGTCGGGGGCACGGCCCCGGGTCCCCAGGCATCCCCTGCTGCAGGTCGGCGGCTGCCCTCCCCCTGCCCGCTGCTAGCAGTGTATTAAAAAAACATAATTGATTTTCCTTCCTGCTAGTGCTTAACCTGGACTTTCCCGCTGCAGCAGCAGAGGGCCCTGATTACAATATCTCTGAAGAGGCCAGTGAGTTATAGTAATGGACACTCTTCTAGCTGTCTGTGCCGCTCATAAATCTATCCCCTCCTGAAAGTGCAGATGGTCCATAATCGTCCATCATCCCGAGCCGAGCGCCGGACAGCGTCGGGGTGGGTTTCTCCTCTGAGGCTGCTTTTTCTGCAAGCTAAACGGAACTGCGACTGGGCGCAGGCTCTCTCCGTAATGGAGTGCGAGCAGCTCCGCCGTCAGCCGTGATTTAGGAGCGAGCAGACAATAAATATCCCCGAGGCTGGGGCTGCGAGCAGCCCGCGGGAGGGGAGGGGAGCGGGGCCGGTGGTGCTCTCGGGCAGAGCCGCGTTGTGTGACCCGCTGCGAGGGGGCTGCGAGGGGGCTGCGAGGGGGCTGCCTGCCCCCGGCGTGCCTGTGGGTGATGGAGTCACACCGCTCGGCTCACTAGCCAGATGCGGGCTAGTGGCAGGGCTGTGCTGCTTGGTGAGTGCCTCAGGTGCCGTCCTTCCCTGTGTGCTTTGTGGGGTGTCCGTGCTGCCTCGTCTGAGCCTTCCTCACCCCACAGGTGGGTGCTGGTGGCGGAGCAAAGCGCGGCTCCGGCTCCTGTGCGCCCACCCTGAGCCCACAGCAGTGGTGGGGATGGGTGTAGAGAGGGAGGCAGTGCCTGGGCAGCATCGCTCTGGCACTGAGCATCCCCCAAGCTCTGTCTGGAGCCTTCCTGCCCTCCCCATCACAGTACTCCCTGTCCCAGCACCATTGCTGTGGGGAGGGCTCTGCTCCCTCCCCGCAGTGACGTATTGATGCAGCGTGGGGGGCAGGCGATACCCAGCCACGGTGCTAAATGTCTGCATCGACTCCCCCCAGGGTCGATACCGGCGTGGTTGTGGCGATTTTGTTTGATATTTAGCATCGGAAACGTGCGCATCCGAGCCTGCGAGTGCCTGGGGATGCGGGTGGCAGGCGGCCGGTGCCGTGTTCGCTTCAGGATTCCCAGCGCTGGGCACCGAGGACCTGGACCTCGTGTGGATGCTGTCACCAAGCCTCTTCCAAGGGAGACTCGTCCCCAGGGGCCCAAGGGCTGGGCTGGGGGTCCCAGCAGGGTCCCTGCCCTGTCCCCTGTGCAGCCCATCCCGGCAGGACCCGCTTGCAGCCGCAGGTGCTCGCCGCAGGGCTCGGAGGAGATGCTGGAGCTCTCCTCCCCGCAGCCTGTCCTAGGCGGCTCACAGAGCTCCCCGCTGCCTTTTATCGGAGCTGCCTCGCGGCCAAGCCCAAGAAGCTGCCCCCGCCTTGCCGAGTGGCCTTATTTACAAGAATCCCCCTGGCATGGCCTTTAAGCGCTTCCATTAACATTTTTGCATCTTGCTTATTGCAAGCCCGGGCCCGCAGAGACCCTCGCGTGGCAGGCAGCAGGCAGCTCGCCGGAGCACGAGGCTCGCTTTAATTGGTTTGAAGCTCTCGCTGCCGGCCGTGGAGGGGTCTCTTTCCTTGAGTAATGACCTGGAATTTGATCACGAGGCTTTTATTAGATTGTGAGCCTGGAAGTGTAACCGTACGGGATCAAAGCAAAGCAGGCGCTGCCGTGCGCTGAGAACCGCGGGGCCGAGGGACAGGAGCCTCGTGCTGGCGGCCGCCCTGGCAAATTAAAATAACCCAGCAACCCCGTGAAGGATTGGAGCGCCTAATGACGGAGCCACTGCTGCGCTCCAGCAGGCACGTGAAGCCAGGGCAGCCCCGTGGCTGCAGGACCCGGTCCTCTGCTGAGCTGCCCTGGGGCTGTCCCTGTCCCCCCAGGGCCACCAGGGCCACCCTGCTGCCAGCCAGGAGCGCTGTGCTGCTGGGCTCAGGCAGCCGAGGCACAGAGGTCCCCCGTCCCCCTGGTGCCCCCAGGCCCCTCCTGCTGCCAGGCTGGGCTCTGGTCCCTGGTGGCAATGGGAAATTTCCTTCCCGTGGGTCCCTTACACCTCTCCATCTCAGGAGAAACCCCACAGCCTCCGGGCAGGGCTCCATGGCCCTTGGTGGGACATGGAGCTGGTGGCACCCCCGGGGCAGGCAGGGCACTGGGGGCTGTGGGGCTGGGGCAGCCCTGGGAGCCCCCCCGCTGCTGGCACCGCAGCTCTCCCTGCTGCTGGCAGCGGCCCTGGGGGGGTCTGGGGGCTGCTGCCCTGTGCCCACCCACACCGGGGCCGCCGAGGGCAGCGCTGGAGCCTGGGCGAGCCGGGGCAGGGAGAGCAATTGCAGCGGTGATTAATGGCTGTGCTGGCGGGAGCTGACAGCTCGCTGCGCCCGCAGTGCCGATGAGCAGCTGGATGCTCCGCTCCCGACAAGCTGCTCCTGAAGGCTCCCCAGCCACCGGTGCCGAGGGCGAGCCCCGCGCCCGCTCCCCTTGCCAGCCAGGCCCCCGGCGTGCCCCCGGCCAGAGCCCGCACGCCCTGCGTGAGCCCCCCCTGCAGCGAGGGGGAGCGGGGCTGGTTTGGAGACTCTGGCAGCATCAGCTGGGTTTATTAAGCTAATAAAACAATGTTAAGTATCCGCACACTGGAGCCCCCTGAGGTCTCTTTATGTGCAGAGAGGAGCCGGGGGATCCCAGTGCCTCCGAGCTGATGATTGCTCTGTCACGCTAATAAATAGCGGGGCAGGTAGCACCGGCACTGCGAGCAGGGGATGCGCTCCCACCGCTCCCGTGGCTGGACCCGAGGTGCTCCTCGTGCCAGGCACCCCGAGAGGCCCCTGGTGAGGTCTC